GGTTTGCATATTAGCCTTCTATTATATAGGATTCGAATCAAGGAGGAGACATAAGCAGGGTTACATGAAATCCTTTGGTGGTAGACTAAGGGGGTGTGAGAAAGCAAAGGAGGAAAATCTCTAAAATTGAACAAAAGGCTAAACAGAGGGACAAATAGTTCTTTCACATTGGTGGGTATAGGATAGTTAATAACACAGCACATAGAGGTGGTACATGGGCAAGAAGATAGCAATGAGGGGACTGTGGTCACATACTCTGGTGCTGGCAGTTGTGCCTAGAGGTGACTCTGACATTTCAAAGGTATGTTAATTGTAGATGCAAAATAGGCTCACGTAAGTAAAGATTGACCTTTGTCAAGGAAGCTACAGGCCTAGGATATCACTGCCCTCAATGACCTGCTTTTACTTAGGAATTTCTATGTTCAGACCATCCATGTTGTTCAGACCATCGCTCTCTGAGTTTATAGGGCCTGTCATCTGGTCTCCCCTGAGCTTGTTGGGTTCAGTATGTGGCCCCTTTATCATCCACAGTAGCAAGGAAAATAAATTCAATGCCAAGATTAATTCTTCATTAGAGGAAAAAGAACCAACACTGGATAAAACCAAACAGTGACATGGACGAAAAACTTGAGACATTTCCACCAAATCCAGAAGGAAGGAAGATGAAATAAAAAGCAATAGAATATATAAAGTCCAGGCAATGAGGAGCCAGCAGAAGCATACATAATTTCTTTCCCAGAAATATGATTCAAAAATATTAAACAATAAACATTCCTTAAGCTGGAGACTATTTGACTATTCAAATTAAAAAGCTTGGTGAAATGTTAGAATTTGAAGGATGAGACAAGTATTATATGTATCATATGGTGTCTTGTTTATAGTTATTGTTTCCTAACAAAGAAAGAAATGTGGAAAACAAGTTGGAACCCTGGCATCATTTACTAGTTTTCTGCTCCCTGGAGGAAAATGGCTCTGATACAATCACAGTAGGTGACAGTTCATGGCATCCAATTTTTTAAAAGATGACCTATGAGCCTGTCTAGTGTGGCTCAGTGGTTGATTGAGCGTTGATCTATGAACCAGAAGGTGACAGTTCAATTCCCGGTCAGGACATATGCCTGGGTTGCGATCTCCATCCCTGGTGTGGGGCAGCTGATCAATGATTCGTTCTTATCATTGATATTTCTAAGTCTCTCTCCTTCTCCCTTCCTCTCTGAAATCAATAAAAATATATTTTAAAAATATAAAAAATAAAAGATGACCTATGAAGTTCTCTGTCTTGAATTATCCTCACTCAAGGTTGGCGGTTTATTATGGCTGAGGTTGGGTTGCGCTTGGAATTATATCCACATGTATTTAATTACTGGAGCCCAAGGGCAAATATCGTCCCCAAGTCAGATATTTTGTGACCTCTATTTTTCTTTCAAGACCATTTTTCAAAATAGTTCTCTTGTGGCCTGACTTTGGGGGGCGGGGGGAGGAGGGGATCGCAGTCTTGTGTAACGGTGATGGATCTCGGGTGTTAGAACGATGTTACACAATCCTGCATTTTTATCATTCTAATGACTATTGCTGGACAAGGGGAGCTTACTTCCCTGCCAGAGATTTATACAAGCTAATCAGAGGCTTGATACAATACAGATGGCGATAACCTTTTACCATACTAAGTTCACGTTGAGTTTTTCTTTGGCAGCAAAGGGTTTGCCTCATTCAATATCCTGGACCAAAAAAATTCTATTTCTTAAATGCCTTGCAGAGTATAGCAGATGATGTAAACTATTTCAGGAACACTGCAAAGGGAATCACGTGCGAGGCCTCCGCCACATTCCACAGAAGTTACCACAGACCTATTTACTTCTTAGAACTGAGGGATGGAAAATGTTGTGTGTTTTTTAATTATGTTTTTTATTCAAGTACAATAAAGCACAAAGATTGGGGAGGGGGACAGATGATTTTCAGTAAGTTCTTCACTCCTCCTCTAAGGGACATTCCAAACCCAGATCTTGTGTAATTCTTTGCTTGAACTACTAGTCCTGCTATTAGTACTATTTTAAGTTAATATATTGCCTTGCCAACAGATATAATGGTTCCTGTAAAAATTCACCCATTCCCCGCAAGAAGAGAAGAAAAATAGAATCACACCTCAAAGTGTTGTTTATATAAGGAGCAGTACAGCAAGAAATCCCTGCTAAATCCTTTTCCTGAATGTGAGGAATGTTATTGACAATGAACTAAGATTAATATTACAAGATAGGATTTGTTCATGTCAGGACAAGAAAGGCACAAAAAGGAAACATTTTGGTACAAGCTGTACAAAACACAGTGCGTGTGTGTGCATGTACACACACACAGATATTCCCTACATTCCTACTGTTCACTCAAGGCCAGCTCACTCACGTAACTCTCTGTAGCGTATCCTAGAGTTCATCCACTCCACTAATTTATGAATTAGTTCATTGAATAAATATTGAGGAGCACATACTCTGGGCCAAGCAATATCAAGAATAGCATACTGGGCGGAGCCGGCCGGCAGGCGGGGGGCGTGGTGCGGGGGGCGGGGGACAATTGACTTGCTCTTTCTCCTTTCCATCAACATTCCCACTTGTTTATTGTCTTGTTTACAGTGAACTGCCACGGTCTTGCTGGAGAGAAGAGTGATCAAAATGAGCAAAAGCTTAGGGGAGTTGGGTTATGATTTCAGAGTGGAACAACTTAGAAAGAAAGAGTTTATAGCTTAGTCAAGAGCACGAATGTTGTAAACACAACTTGCCACATCTTGGAGCTCTGGAATTTGGAGGTCCCCTTAGAATACTGACACACAACTTTTGGGACAAATAAAGTAATATCTAGCTTCATGCCATCCATAACACATCGTTGAATTTTTCCCCAGAGGTGGTACTGAATGAAAGTGTGTGTGTGTGTGTGTGTGTGTTTCAGTCCATTCCAATTGCTAGGGCTTTTGCTTGGGGTGTGTACTAACTGAAAATGTTTATAAATATATATGTCTATACATGTATATACATATACATGTGTATATGTGTGTATATGTATATATATGCAGGCGAATATATGTATATGTATGTATTCCTATACATCTATATACTTTATACTTTTCAAGCCTCATTATTATTTTTATTAATACTCAAATTATCCTTTATTCAACTAGAGGGAGTTTCAGATAGTTTCTGGTTCTCTTTGGTGTGTTCTTAGTAGCCTTTAATACCTATGTAGTAGGCTTTTGAGAAGGAGTGGGGTGAAGTATTTGACTATCCCTTCTCAATTGCTGGCTTTCCAAATGTTCTCCAGAGTCATATTTTTTAAGGTTAATTTAATTGTCTTTAAATTCAGATTTAATGGTTTTATCTCTAGCTCACAAACACTAACAAATTTGGTAAGGGTTACTGGATTAGAATCAATACCTAATGATCATGTATTTATGAAGATTGCTTTCTATAAGCATAAATTTTATAATCTTAAGAGAATCTGGATCTATGGCTGAATCTGCTCCTAAAAATGAATTGAGACAAAGTTATTATTTAAATTATATCATCACTTTTTAACTTTTAACAAAATCTAGGATATCATTGCCGTTCTTCCAGACTTTCTGAATGTAGTGTTTCTTGAATTACTGCCTAATAAGCATTGAATGCCTTCTAAAAACTTGTCAGAAAATATAATACTCCGGCACTTCATTACCTTTCTTATCTAACCATAATGAAAAGCAACAAGAGGCCATTTGGTTACAGTGCCAGACTCACCCCTGGGTTCTCTATCTATAGAGAAGGAATAGCATATAACGTTTATAAAGCATAACTCACTCATCCTAAAATAATAAAGCCCAGGTGTCAGGTTGGGTAAAACAGCATTTTCTCATGAAGATCAGACACCACCACCAACAGCTGATTTTGTGCTAATACTGGGTGGTCCTGGTAAGAAAGATGAAGTATTGAATCCATTCTACAATATTGGAGGAGCAGTGGAAAAACAAATATAGAAGGCAGGCTGGCCATTATTGACTCTGAAAAACACATGTTCACTTACATTTTCCCTCTGGTTAGGCTTTTAGTGTATGATCATGAGGTGGAGGGAGACAGACAGACAGACAGGTGGTTATGCTTGGAAGTAGATTCATGGGACTCAGATTTGGTTCATGTTTTGAGAGCTTGAAAATTAAAAAGGTTTAACAGTAGTGATACTATTAATAAAAATTCATTCCATAAACATTTGCTGTTCTCCATTATCGAGGTCCATGGCAGTGCTGCTGCTGCTGATACATTTTAAATGCCTCTAAGGTTTATTGTGATTCTGCAGGACCCGTGTAGACTCTAGTCTATGCCTATTTCTCTGTAATCAGTGTTCCTTCCCCCACTCAAGTGAAATGCTAATGATTGTCACAAATACTATTTTATTTTTTTAAATATATTTTTTATTGATTTCAGAGAGGAAAAGAGAGGGAGAGCAAGATAGAAACATA